CAATCAGCTTGTAACACTCCAAAGAGAAAGGAAAACTTGAAATCGCATCATATGACCCCTTTAATTGCCCGTTCGTTTCCTCCACAAAAGAGAATCAGGAAGGCAGTATTAACAACATATTGCAGTAACAATCTGTCAGTCATCTTTTCCCTTTCTCAGGCAAAAGACCAGAAAGGAATATTAAACTGCCCACAATATTTCCACCTTAACAGTTATTACCAGTCCTGATTACCTGATGAGATTATGAGTTTTTTTTTGTTTGTTTTTTAAGGCCAGACCTGTGTCAATTTTTTTGTTTTACAAATAACACCTGCATTGTTTATACTTTTTTTATTCTGTGAAGAAAAAAATATTAATATTAGACCGATCTTTTATGAAGCCAGATTTACTGATATATAATCAGATTGCAGTTATTTAAGGACTTTTATTATAAAATAAATAAATTCTTCTATTATAACTATTTACCTTTTTGACACATTTCTGAAATTAATGATGTCTGAAACCATATTTTCGTCCTGATTTGGACAATGTGCAAATCACAAGGACTTTTATTGTGTGTGTGTGTGTGTGTGTGTGTGTGTGTGTGTGTGTTACATTTGGTGTATCTGTTTGTGAATGTCAGTGAACGTGTGTGAAGATGTTGTAGTGTGAATAACCCTCTCCCCCTCCCATACCCAGAATGCCTTGCAGGCCTGGTTTTCACCACATCAGGATACAGGCCTGCTGGCTGAATTCCGGTATGAAACGGAGCGCTGGTGCACCGCAATCTGTGTGTCATACACATGCACATCCCTCTTCAGGAAGATGGACAGGTGCTGTAACGGACACTTGCTTTTACTCACGTGTAACATTCATTAAGTGCAACCACTTCCAGTGCAACCAATTAATTTCATGTCACACACACACACACACACACACACACACACACAAACTTTATAGTCACTGATCCACTCTGTGCAGACAATTACCAAAGCAACATCACACATATTAAAGCTGATGCTTAAAATTTCAGACAGGACATTTTCAAAATTAGCATACTTCAGTCTTAAATTATTAATTGTGAAGATGCTAAGAATGTATGCCTGTATAAAACCTTTTAGAGATGGTGTCAGGTGTATTTTGTTATGCTAGCAAGTTAGTAGTTCACCCTAATGGACCACTGAAGGTGAATTAGCCAAAGCTAGATTCCAGCATCTTTTTAATCATAGTTGGGAAGCCCTAGCATGGAGTTTCCTGTTTGTATCATGTGTTTCATGGGCAAGTTACTAGATATTTCAAAATTGATGTCACATTGCAACTTTATTCTGACATCCAGTTGAATGTTTATATCCTTAAATCAGTATGAAAATAGGTCTCTCTGGTTAAATGAGATTTCTAAAAATTTTAAAGTGACAATCACAAGCAAACAAGATCACAAGCAAAGTCACTGCTATCCATTAGTGTAGTGCCATATTAAATAAATGTATGAGTGTGTTGTGTAAGTGCATGGCAGTAGGACAAAATTAATATGAAAGAAAAGAGTAAGCTAAAAAAAAGAAGAAGTGTTTTAGTGAGTGATGGGGACAAGAGCGACTCAAATCTTGGATCTCAGGCTATATTTTTATTCATAATTGCATTAGGTGATACTCAGCAGTTGTTCCCCTGTCCCCATTATGTTAAGCCATAGTGGACTTCTATTAAGAATCTACTGAGATGGCACTAAGCATCTTTAGTATGCTTCAATCAAAACATAAGGGCTGGAGATCAGATTTTCAGTCATTTTTAACTCAAAGCCGCCATCTTCTGGCCATTTTCGGCTTTCTGAATCATGGCGCTTCAATTGAACCAAGACAACATGCTCAACACGCAGCCTCCCGATTACTTCAGGCCCTGCTTTCCAATTAGTCTGCCTGATTAGCATGAATAATGACAAATATAGATATATGTCATCTTATCTAGATGATAAAAAAATACAATATATCAACAATTACATCCCATTAAGTAGCTTTTCAACTTTAAAAAGATCTGCTTCTGATTCAAATAGCTTGATGTTGAAATTTCCTTGGGGACAAATGCACACATTGTTTTCATTACTATGTGCAGTGTGCAAA